GCTTTTGTTGTGACTGCGTCATCTGGAGATGACGACGAATTATGCAAAGGCGACCTATCTCCCCCTCGGAAAGGGAGTCTTGTATGTCAGAATGAGGTGGGGAGGCCGGTTCAATAATGAGAGCGAGGCTGGTGGTAGCCTAGAAACAGTAGAAAGAGTGGTTCTTTTTAGGATGTGGCTTCCAAGGTTGCCATTGGGTGGCATACAGTGGTGGTGGGTAAGCGTACTGTTGTACATACCATAGTGGTAGAGGAGGAGAGTATGCGTACTGCACTGTGGCAGGTTGCCAGGATGGTGGTCTAGGTGTCAGACTGGAATGTTGGGAGGAAAATCTGCTTCTAGATCCAGTGCCTATTTCACTTGGGGAATGAGACACCACAGAGGATCGTCGAGACGATATGGACTGAACAGAAGAGCCCGGTGAAGGCAGTGCCATAGGAGTATGACTCCGCACAGGTGAATGGTACTGACTGCCGCCCTCTCTGTGCTGAATGGTGGTGTCTAGATGGTGCCGAGGATGGCAACGGTGCCGAGGTCATTGTAGACGCCGGGGGCACTGTAGGTACCGAAGGTGACAGCGGCATGGCAATCTGCTCTGGTGCTGAACATTCAGGTGACGGAGCATCGGTGCAGGGTTTCTTCGGTGCAGGCATCGGTGGTGGTTTAGGATGTTGTTTCGGTGCCATTCGATCTGAACCCTGGCCAGTTGGTACGGTCCAAGTCTCATGTGGCCCCGGTGCCGTAGGTTGCAGTGCTGCTGGCCTCTGCTTTGGCTCCGAGTGGACTCTCTTATGAGTCAGCACCGACTTACGTGGCACCGTGCCTGAGGTCCCCGGTCTCTCTACGCTGCTGACCTGTGCAGTCGTTGGTGCTGAGGGTAGCGAGGGAATTGGGGAAAGGCCTGTTTTTGAGGCTGTATGGCTGGAGTGGGTAGAGGGATGATTTTTATCCATAACCTTACTCTGTGCTGCTGGTTTAGGAGCCGCGGGAGAGTCCTCAGAAGAAGGGCGAAGGGACTTCTTGTAAAGTAGCGTCTTGAGCCTATTGGCTCGGTCACGGCGCGCTCTCGTGGTGAGTTTAAGGCAGTGGGAGCACTTTTGTGTCTGGTGTGCCTCTCCTAAGCACTTTATGCACTTAGAGTGCTGTTAGAGACGGGCATAGCATCGCTGCATGCCTCACATCTCTTAAAGCTGGGCGAACCGGGCATGAGGCGCCCGGGGCAAAAGCGGTGGGCCGCAACTGAAGAAAAAAAATTATTATTCTTTTCAACAGATTAGGTAAGGAAAAGAGGAAACTAGGGAGTTTGTGTATTTTTAAACAGAAATGAGGAGAACTCAGTGGCGCCGTCTGCTGCCGAGGACTGTAGAGAAGGAACTGAGGAGTTGCACTGTGCAGGTGCTTTAGGATTCCAACAGCACTAGAGGGCACTCTGGCACCTGCGTGGAGTGGCAGAAACTGCTGGAAAAAGTCGCCGGCGTGAGGACGCACCAGCACCCAGAGTGGAGCACCCACAGGGACCACTCAAAGAAGAATCTTTTTTACAAGCTAGGCAGCCTCCTTCCCCTTGTTCAGTTGTAGATATTTCCAGCAGGTATTTTGGGTGATAAATGGGGGTCTCCTGGCATCTGCATACCACCCCTATTGTTTGGCTTCCTACCTTGATTCCCCTTTTTCCCCAAGGTGGGAATTCTGTGCCGTCAGTTCAGACTTTTCTCACCGTGAGTGGAAAAGTACAAGATCCCAAATGAGTTTCAGCATCTGGTGGCCTGATTACATGTCTTTGTAGGATCAATCACAGTTTGGGCTTACAGAAAAAATGTATGTGGAATATTATTAATTTATTAATTACCCTTATTAGTACATCTAAAATTATGAAGAGCTCCACACTTCACATTTCTAATTTTATGTACAGGAATAATATGCACACATATAAAATATCCACATTTGCAGATTTTAACTTTAAAAATGTCACATGATGCACTTTGCCTAAAGCGTCTTCAAGTTATGAAAATTGTCTTATGAACAGGAATATGCATAAAACATGGGGGAAATGACACACTTCCTCTTTCTGCCCAGAGTCCTGCAGCCCGTATTCCCCCCCCCCCAGAACCCGAGGATCCAGAGAGAAAGAGAGGCAGCCTAATGCTGAATCCTGGGCATGTCAGGAGTTTCCTGCAAGCCAACTCCTTCCTTCAGGATACACCGGGAACTGTAACTATCTGGAACCTTTCAGGTCTCCTCCTTCTTGCCCCCTAGCAGTGTCCTGTATTTGCAAGCTGAAGACCCAGTTTTTGCTGGATCCAGAAGCTCCTACAGGCCAGCATCAACTGCAGCACCAGTTCTGTCGGGGAAAATGAAATTCTGAGCAGACTTACTTACTATTCTGTGGAATTCCCTATTACTAAGCCAGTCATTTTCAACTTTTTTTTTTTTATTTGCAGACACCTACAAAATTTCAAATGGAGTGTGGACCCCTGTGAAAATCTGCACACTCTTGGGGGTCGGCAGACCACATGTTTAAAGCCACTATTTCTGAGCCCCTTAGATGTAGTCTGTGGTCCCCAGGGGTCTGCAACAATAGGTTGAATATAGGGCTCTCAATTGACATGGGTGAAAGCCTGCGATTAACGCAGTCCAGGATTAACACATTACATTTTTAACGCGTTAATCGCAGGCATTAATACTGCGCTGCCCCTTTGAAGTGCCGCTGTGGGCGCTTCAAAGGGGCAGCACAACGCAGAGCCCAGGATCAGCTAGGGACTCCCTAGCTGACCCCAGGCTCCACTACTCCTTTGAAACACACAGAGGGAGTTTTTCTGAGGTATTTACTGGCTCCTTTTGAATAAAAAAATAAATCAAATCAGATGACAAATGGCAGTTGCTAATGTTTTCTCTTACAAACGTGAGGGAAATATTTTATCCTTCAGAATCTTTATTACTGGTGATGATGTGTGCAAAGAAATAGTTCGTTTGATATTTGGATCCCTGGTTGAGTTTGCCAGTTTTACCCCCATTTTTTAAACATTTGTAAGCAAATGTGATCTCAAATTGAGAAGTGACAAATGGGGAAACCCTGCAAATGCCGTATTTTCAAGTCTCATGACAAACTGCACTTCTAGGAAACAAACCAGCATATCGTTTGGAAGACTGGGGAAATAACTGCCTATACTTACTTTACCTAGAATCTCAGGTGCATGATGAGCACGTCTCAGATCACAACACTGATACCATGGCACGTAGGACTGAATCATCACTTTAGCAGTGTTCAACGGGGCAGTGCTGCATGGAGCCTGGGATCAGCTAGAGTTCCCAGCTGACCCTGGGCTCCATGCAGCGCTGCCCCTTTGAAGTGTCAGGGCAGCGTTTCCAAGGGGCAGCACAGCATGGGGCCAGAATCAGCTGGGCACTTCGAGATCTATGGATGAAAAGACTAGTGCTATTAATTTTTATTTTCATTATATATACTGTTTATGCCACGTGTCACCATCATAGGAAAAAAACCCAGTCAATTCACAATGCACTGCACAGTAAGAACATCAATATGCTGCATGTGCAATGCTTATTTATCAGGAGAAAATAGTTGTTACAATAGCAGAGAACACTCTATACTGTTTGGTTTGAGCATCTTAACCAATACAATACCTCACATTTTCCTAGCACTTTTATACCGAAGAGGAATCTCTTTATAAGACACTGAAATAAAGGTGTGTCTATTGTGAAATGTGGCAACAATGCACAGTGAGGATAGAGTATACATCAATGATGGGCAACCCAGGCTAGTGAATGGGCTGCATGAGTGGCCCTCCATCTCAGAGGGTAGTTTTGCTAACTGTGCTTGCATACCTAGAATTTGCGGGGTGTGCTATAGCAGCACTTTGATGGAATACAAAAGGAGCACTCAGCTCTCACAGTCAACGTTGCATGCAATCAGCATGCACTTCACTTAATGAGCCCCTGCTTTACCTGCTACTTTAGTAATACTGGTAGGAAAAAATCCTACACAAATGGAAAGTAGCGGAATCTGGCAACCCTGTGCGTGTGCAACGGTAAACAAAAATGTCTTGTGGGACACACATAGAACCCTGATGGGCCTCATGCGGCCCCCAGGCTACAGGAAGCCCACCGCTGATATACATACTGTGCACAGTCAGCTGCACAAGTTACTTTTCTCTGATGGTTGTATGGGTTTTCCAGCAAGAAAAAAAGTGATAGGTTGTTGGTTTTTTTTGCAAAAAGAAAAAATTATTAAATTGGAATGTGGGGATGTAGAGTCTGTAATCATTTTAAAAGACTGACACACTTTCAGATTAACAGCATCTCTTTAAAAGTCATATATTAGAGCAGGGGCTCTCAAACTGGGGTTCACGAGGTTATTACAGTAAAACTCCAATAGTCCGGCACTCCTGATAGTCCAGCATCAAAATGGCAAGAGCCTAGTGAGTGAGCTTCGGCAAAAAAAGAGTCACAAGGTAACAGCAGCAGCAGCTGAACTAAGCAAAAAGGGTAAAAAAGGCTTAAAAAAACTAAAACATTACAGTATACTGTATACAGTATGTACAATACAAAGGGTTAAGAACACTTTATATACAGTATATAATGTATTCAGTATATATATAACCTGCTTATAGTACCTCCTGATAGTCCGGCATATCTGATAATCCGGCACCACCTAGGTCCCATAGGTTCCGGATTATCGGAAGTCTACTGTACATGGGGGGTTGTGAGCAGTCACCCTTCACCCCAAACCAACAATTTACATCCAGCATTTATAATGGTGTTAAATACATAAAAAACTGTTTCTAATTTATAAAGGGAGGGGGTCACACTCAGAGACTTGCTTTGTGAAAGGGGTCACCAGTACAAAAGTTTAAAAACCACTGTAATAGAGTAAGAGTTAGGGTGTCAAGACCACCCTACTGAATCACTAACATTACTTTCTACAGCAACCTCAGTTTCCCTTGGAAGTCTTCTATTCAAGTACTAAGGCCCAACCCAATCTTAACTTTGAGATCTGAGGAGACACGGTATGTCCCCTTATGACCTTGACTCAGTACTGGTATGCAGGTCCAAAGCTTCCAAGATACCTGTAGGGTGTCTAGAAATACTTACATCATCAACTTTGGGCTCTGTTACTGGTACCCATTTGTAAATTCTGAGGGATGTGTCGCCAACTGTCACCCATTTCTTCTCCCTATAAAATTACAAGGCAGGGGAAGTTAAAAGTTTCATATTCACAAAATGACCTACTATGCTGTCATGGATTTAAATGGGCAATCATACACTTAAGATGATTTCTGTCACATCATCTTTAGTACAATTACCTGTATTTAAAAAGCAACCGATTATAACCTGCAAATAACTTCACAATTACTGGCTTTGATGAGTGACTGCAGTAGCAGTAATGAGACCTGGGCCAGAGGTATGGTTAAGCAGAATTCTGGCCAACCAAAACCACAATTACAATAGTTTCAAATTTTTATTTAACTCTATATACAGCAGAAGTTTTCAGACACATGGTACTTTGGTTGCTGTATAGTTAAATTTAATGATATTAGAAATCTAGATGCTGTCTGATCATCTGAATTTAATTTTTGGAGAGAAACTTTCTGGTAGCAATTTTACTGTTCACTCAACACTCATGTCCAATTGCTACCAACAGGCCAGCCTTAATTTTAAAGCTATGTGTGCTGCCATACAGAAGGCTAAAATCTGATTCTTGGGCCTTGGCTCCCTGGACCAGCTGGGGTTTGGAATACTGTGGAAGGAGAGCATTGCCTACAGCACTCTATGAAGACCCTTGCCAGACAGCCAACCACAAAGTGACACTGACGAATTGCAAAGGGAAAGTGTCCAAAGGGTACCACTGCAACCTGGGGCCCTGAAGACATACAGAGTGGGGAGATGCCAAGAGCAACTGAGAGATTGGGAGACGGACTCCTTCAGAACAATCATTACACAAGAGCATTAAAGGAAGGTCCACTATGCCAGAAAAATTTAATCTAGGGTACGTCTAGACTACATGCCTCTGTCGCCAGAGGCATGTAGATTAGGCTACCAGACATAGGAAAATGAAGCGGCGATTTAAATAATCGCCGCTTCATTTAAATTTACATGGCTGCCGCGCTGAGCCGACAAACAGCTGATCAGCTGTTTGTCGGCTCAGCGCGGCAGCCATGTAAATTTAAATGAAGCGGCGATTATTTAAATCGCCGCTTCATTTTCCTATGTCTGGTAGCCTAATCTACATGCCTCTGGCGACAGAGGCATGTAGTCTAGACGTACCCTGAGTGTCTGAATGTGGAAGGAGGAGGAAGTGCCGCTGTGCAATCTAGGCCCATAAGTACGGAGTCATGTAAACTAGTTTACCCAACATAGTCAATGAAGCGGGGATTTAAATAATCCCTTATTCATTAAATAATAATGGCCGCTGCACTGTGCTGACAATCAGCTGATCCGGCACAGCGCGGCAGTCTAGACGCGGATCCCTCTGGCGACAGAGGCATGTAGTCTAGACGTACCCCTAGTCTCTGGTAATCAGTTCTCAGGTCACAGATCATCACTGACGGTTCGTGGATTCAAAATAAAATTCTGCAAACAGATCAATTAAAATCTAGCAAAAAAACACACTAGTGTCATTGATTATTAAGCAACAACAAATTAATTTGGAACCACTTCAAAACATTTATGGCCTTCGGGGGGTTTTTTGTTGTTGCTTTTTAAAAAACCCACAACGCTACAGCTGGATTCCAAATCTATTATTTAATACATTGTAAAACACACGTTGGCAGGATGGGAAAAGCTTTGTCACGCCTGTGCATTTGTGATAACATCTGTTCCACCACCACTCTCCTATCTTTTCCCCATTTGACTACAGACAATGTCAATCTCATTCTTCATCAGCCTAAAGGGATACTCTTTCCTCCTTAGAAAAGGAAAAAAGCAGTTACCTGTTCTCATAACTGGTGTTCTTCGAGATGTGTTGTTCACGTCCATTCCAATTCAGGTGTACGCATGCCCCGTGCACAAACATCAGAAACTTTTCCCCAGCAGCTCCCATAGGGTCGGCTGTGGAGACCCCTAGAGCGGCGCCACTATACCAGCGCATATATACTACTGCTGACCCTGACCCTCCCTCAGTTCCTTTTTGCCGGCTACTCCAACAGAGGGAAAGAAGGGTGGGTATTGGAATGGACATGAACAGCACATCTCAAAGAACACCAGTTACGAGAACAGGTAACTGTCTTTTCTTCTTCGAGGGCTTGTTCACGTTGATTCCAATTCAGGTGACTCCCAAGCTGCTACCCCATGGAGGTGGGGTCGGAGTTCAGCATCACAGACTGCAGTACTGCTCTGCCAACTGCTGCGTCCTCCCTGGAAGATTTATCAATTGCATAATGGGCCGTGAACGTGTGAATCGAAGACTAAGTAGCCACCCTGCAGATTTCCTGCAAGGTGACCTGTGCCACAAAGGCCGCAGACGAAGCCTGGGCCCTAGTCAAGTGGCCTGTGACTGGTGGGGGAGGGACCTCAGCTAGGTCATAGCAGGTGCAGGTGCACCACACTAGCCAGGTAGGAATACACTGTGTGGATACCGGGTCTCCCCACATACGCTCTGCGACTGCCACGGACAGCTGTGTGGATTTCCTAAATGACCTAGTGCGGTCTATGTAGAAGGCTAAAGACCTCCTTACATCTAGTGTATGCAATACCCTCTGTCTGTCATTAGTGTGAGGCTTAGGATATAAAATCAGAAGGAAGACCTCTTGCAACAGGTGGAATTGGGAGACCACTTTTGGTAGCAAAGCATACGCTCTGCGACTGCCACGGACAGCTGTGTGGATTTCCTAAATGACCTAGTGCGGTCTATGTAGAAGGCTAAAGACCTCCTTACATCTAGTGTATGCAATACCCTCTGTCTGTCATTAGTGTGAGGCTTAGGATATAAAATCAGAAGGAAGACCTCTTGCAACAGGTGGAATTGGGAGACCACTTTTGGTAGCAAAGCTGGATGTAGCCTGAGCTGCACTTTGTCCTTGTGGAAGATCTTGTACAGTGGTTGAGGATAGGGCCCTTAACTCAGACACTCGTCTCGCTGATGTGACAGCTACCAGGAAAGCTACCTTCATCGATAGATGTAGCAAAGAACACTGAGCCATCGGTTCAAAGGGTGGACCCAAAAGTTTATTGAGCACCAGGTTCATGTCGCAAGCAGGTACAGGTGGACGACAATAAGGGTGTGTCTAAACTACATGGCTCCATCGATGGAGCCATGTAGATTAGGCTGATCGGCAAAGGGAAATGAAGCCGCAATTTAAATAATCGCGGCCTCATTTAAATTTACATGGCTACCGCGCTGAGCCGACAAACAGCTGATCAGCTGTTTGTCGGCTCAGCGCGGTAGCCATGTAAATTTAAATGAGGCCGCGATTATTTAAATTGCGGCTTTCTTTCCCTTT